TCATTGGTCTTTGTCAAGTCAGAAGAACAGCTACGTGTTGGATTATTCAGAGGAGGAGTCAGATTTTGAGATTCATTGCAAAGTCTTGCTGTTGTAGTATGGCTCGTACAAATCAGATTGTCTGTTCGACAACTGGTTGGTGTGCTGTAGTGTGTTGGTGAAGTTTATTGGTTAGAACAAGATTGGTGGTGTTCAATCAGTGTAAAGTTGGTTTTAAAGTTTGAGCAGCGTGTTGGTTTTAGATGTGTGCTTGGTTTGCATTGCGAGAAGTTTGGAAAAATTTTTCTCATCATAGAAGATCGATCAAGGAGTTATTGCTGGTAGTTGTTGCGTGCTCTTTCTGATCAGTTTCTGAAATTCCGCAGTCCTTGGTAGTAAAATTCTTAGTTTTTGCACGAGGCTTGGGTTCGTGCTGTGCCAGACATGGCGGGTGCCTTGGTACCATGCATTCTGGACAGAAAGACGAGCCTCACTACAAGCAGAATACAAGGAGATGGTTAAACAGTATCCCAAAGCAGATCAGCACTACAGGAAGCTGTTTAAAATCATTTGTGATATTGAGGTTGTGGCCAGCTTCACATCCGCTAAAATTGGGGAAAGTGCCGAGTGGGCGGCAATAGTCAATGCTGCTGACAAAAACAGAGACAGCTATTGCAAGGCTCTCACGGGCAAGATATTGTTCAGTGCTCTGTTTGGGACCTATACAGTTACACTGAACGATCTGAAGTCCCTAGTGAAGGCCAGAACCTCAGAGACAACAAAATTCCTACAAAGCCCTCCCAAGAAGAAGACTTAAAAGAAGTCCGAAGGTGGAAACAGCAAAACACAGCAGAGTCTGCCCTGACTTCAAAGAAGGCAGCGGCTGCCGCAGGAAACACCCCGACAAAAGAGGTTCCCACCTGCAACTACTCTGCACCTCTCAGGGTGACATCAATGGACACCGACACTGCTAGTGCCGGAACCACTACACTGGAGGAGGAAACCTCAGGTAAAGCAGGCAGGCCCCCCCAATAATTCTAACGTCCGCAGTTAACCTAATTCAGTTGCAAAAGCAACTGAAAAATGTGGTCAAAGGCGACTTTGAGTTCCGCAGTACCAGAAATGGGACCAGAATCTTCACCTAAAGCATGGCAGATTTCGAAGCCGTCAAGTCCCATCTATCAAACAATAAACTTTCCTACTATACCTTCTTTCTGAAGTCCCTAAAACCCATAAAGGCTGTAATCCGTCACCTCCCTCACAATACCCCTGCAGAGGATATATCTGATGGACTGGTGACCCTGGGATTTGATGTGGTTAGTGTCAAACAGATGACAACCATCCGCGGGACGCCTTCAGAAGAAAGGATATCAAGAAACCTTCCACTCTTCCTTATCACCCTACCCCGGACGGCAAAATCACAAGAAATTTTCCATCTACAAAGCCTTTGCCACATTTCCATCTGGGTTGAGGCATATAGAGCACAGAGTGACCTTACGCAGTGTCACAACTGCCAACAGTTTGGCCACGTCTGAGCCAATTGCAAACAACCACCTTGTTGCATGTGGTGCGGGGGTGACCACCTGCACAAAAAGTGTCCAGAAACAGAGAACGCTGCCTCTACTCTAGCTTGCTGCAATATCCAGTTGAAGGAGGGAGAGAAGCCCCATCCCGCCAACTATCGGGGCTGCAGACACGCGAAGGAGGAGCTGCAGAGGTAGAACTCACAGAGGGCACCCAAAAACACAATGGGAAGAGTGTTCTCCTCAAATATCGTTACCCCAGGTGTCTCCTTCGCGGCGGCACTCCGAGGCAGCATATCGCAGGAGCAGCGACCTCAGACTCGCCAAGTTCTAGTGGCAGTTCCACCAGAAGCCATGAAACCGAGCGTCCCAGTCCTTGTACAGGAACAAAAAACAGGTCAGTCAGCTCAGGCTACTCATGTAAACAGTCCATCTCTTACAATATGTTGAGTAGTGACTGTAGTACAGCAGATTATGACAGAGGTCAGTGGTGCAGCGTCTGAGGAGGAAAAAATAATGGCCATTACTAAAATTGTTCTAAACCTAATGTAACAAATGGCCACTAGAGTTCATAGGCCCCTCAAAGTCATAGCATTTAATGCGAATGGCATTGGGAGGCAGCACTATGAGCTCAGTTAACAGCTGCAAGACCTACACGAAGATATGGCCCCGTTTTCAGACACATCTGAAACCTCATGAGGTTCTTTATTCCAAATTACCACTTTTATAGAATTGACTGCCACTCGGGCAGAAAAGGCGGAACTGCCATTGCAGTAAGAAAAGGCATTCCCCATAACCATGTAGACCTACCATCCCTTGGTTCAGTAGAAGCGACAGGGGTCTGCATACCAATTGGAAATAGTGAAGTACTGCTTGCAGCTGTTTATAAATCTCCAGGCAAAGCCGGGGGTTATACTGACATCACTGAGCTCTTAAGCTTCAGACGTAAGTCTATTTTGGCAGGTGATTTGAATGCTAAGAACCCATTTTGGAATAGCAGAGTTTCAAATCCCTCAGGCTTGAAAATCGTCGATCTATTTGATAAGAGTGATTTCGAAATCTCAGCACCACAGTGCCCCACTCATTATTCCCCTACGGGAAATAATGACGTGCTGGTATTGTCATCCACCAAAATATCAGAATGTCAGACGTCATCATCTCTGATATTTTGGATTAAGATTACCTATCGATAGTATTCCACATACTGGATCATGTTAAAATTAGGAACCTTTTGGAACGTATCGAAAAATTCAGACTGGGAGCAGTTTCAAAGCCTCACCTCTGAGTTAATATCACCTAATATTGAAACTAAGCCTGGGGTAGAAGCCGATAAAGCGGCGCGCAACTTTGCAGCCTCTATTGCTTCAGCATATAGGTTGTCCACCAGAAAAGTTACACTTTCGGACATAAACACCGATCTCCTGGTCTAGGTCGCCTGTTAAAACATAAGCATGGGCTACGAAAATTGTGGCAAGAAACCAGGGATCCAGCATGTAAGAGGGCACTAAATTGGGTCACAAAATCAATCAGGCAAATGACACGAAAAAAGGCACTTGAACGGTGGGAAACACAAATAGGTAACGCTGAAGTCACTCCTCAGGGTATATGGTCAATTGCGAAATCCCTCCTAAAGAGGGATGGAACAAGGGCACCAACTGCTATTCATGGTTCTTCTGGCCTTAAATTTCTTCCTTCTAAAAAGCCAACGAAATTGCCAACTGTTTGGAAATTCAGTTCATGCCACATGGTCTGTGCAATGAAAACCACGAACAATGGGTGGAAGCTAGAGTTCAAGCTCTGCTGGAAACCATGGACGAAAACCCGCCTCAAAAGAGCAGACCATGTGACGTTAAGAAATTCATAAAATCCCTGAAATTAAAAGACGTGTGGAATTGACGGCATCCCAAATGAATGCCTCTGGCACCTTCCAAGGCGACCACTGGTTCACCTAACTCAGTTATTTAATCATTGTCTTCAGCTCTCTCATTTTCCAAATACTTGGAAGGAAGCAAAAGTAATAACTTTACCTAAACTCGGTAAAGATCCGAAATTCCCGCAAAATTTACGTCCGATCAGCCACGTGTCCACGACAGGAGAAATATTCGAAGAAGTAATTTTGAAATTACTACATAAACATATTGAAGAAAGAGGCCTCTTCAACACCAGCCAGTTTGGTTTTCATGCACATCACAGCACGACATTGCAATGAATGAGGCTGGCGGACCATGTGACCCTTAATTTCAACAATAAAATGTCTACGACTGCAGTGTTCTTGGACATCGAAAAAGCCTTTGATACCACGTGGCACTCAGGCTTGCTGTACAAGTCATCAAAATTGTAATTCTCTTAACTGTTTGACCAAGCTTATTGGGTCCTTTCTTTCTCATCGTACATTCAGGGTCTTGGTTGAAGGCGAAATGTCATCGCCAAGGAAAATGCAAGCAGGGGTGCTACAAGGTTCTGTCCTTTCCCCTACTCTTTTCAACTTGTACATAAATGATGCCCCCCATACACAGGGTGTTCACCTGGCCCTCTTTGCAGACGACACCTGTCTATATGCAACAGATCGCAAGGAGGGTTTTATTGTTAGAAAACTCCAGCGTGGTCTCAGCTCAATGGAGAGCTGATGTGAGTGCTGGAATATTAAAATTAATGAAGATAAGACTGAGGGGGTCTACTTCTCTCGTAGGTATTGACTGCCTGAGTCTTGTCTTACTCTTAATGGACGAAATATTCCATTTGTAAATAGTGCAAAATATCTAGGTGTAATCTTCAATAAGAGAGTTACATGGAGATTACACACAGAAATGATCGAAGCCAAGGCCTTCAGAACATTCATTAGAGTATATTCCCTATTCAAAAGTGAG